ATCGTTACAATTAACAGACAAGTCACCATGACTTACTTTCCTGTTTGCATCCAAGACACTCTGTCCCTTCTTTGACCCAGGCATTGTTGAACTTGACCCAATTCCAAAAAGTTCCAGATATTGCTTGTTCAAAGAGGACTTGACCGGCACCAGGAAAGATGAACGGCGACTATCCAAACTTTCACCAACTGTTTCAATCCGCCAGATCTGTTTCTATCGTCAGAAACTGTCAATCACGTCTCATAAACCGTTAATGCCCAGCTCTCGCTACGCTCGGGCCCACGCTGTTCTTCGAAGATTTCGGAAACGCTTAGTTATAACGGACGAGAAAACCAAAACACCGATCTGCCGTTTGATATTTCTTTATTGTTACACCAACATATAAAAGGAATAAGCGAACTAAGGTCTGAAAACAAATATTACAATAATAAATCATTGTATTACTTCTGACGATGTTTCACTCTTCTTTCTGAACAGCGACCGATGAGACGATGACTGTCGTATTGATGCCTCCGCGAAAATTGAGGAAGTTGATTTTGAGCAAACAACCATGAATTGATCGATCAATCTTCAACTCCATTGACAGTGGGCTTATTTAAGCTGCCACTGTTTTTCGGTATGATTTAGGGGCATATTTTCCTTATCTTTACCAATGGAGTCATGGCTAGGAGGGGACAATGTCGAATTTCGGTGGGTTTTAACTTTTTTCTGGGGTTATTTATTGGCATTTTAGATTCTAATAATAATAATAATAATAATGTATATTCTCATATAAACATATAAATTTACATGAAAATGCATGCCATTTTTACAGGCACGATCATGTATGATATAATATCAAATCGTAGATTGTCTACAAGTTAATAATGTTTCAACAGTTAAATATTTGATATATATATAAATACACATTGTCTGAACTAGGCTGTATAGTTATTGAATTGTACAGTTGTCCTCCAGGTTGAGCGGGAAAATCGACTTCGTTTCGTTTTCACCCCGTGGTTGTCGGCATACGATAACCAACCAATATTGAGGTAAGTACAACGTTTACAAGGGATTGAAAGCTGTTTTAGAAAAGTAAAAGTGCTGAGGTGAATCATTAAATTGTAATGAAATGGGTAAGTGCAAGTATCATTAATAAATGTATTAAAAAAAGAAAACTCCCTAGGCTGACAACGTTCATTTGCAATGTATAATGCTACACGTATACCTTGTACTATCATGATGTCCACTTTTGGTTTTAATACATTTATCCTCAGTTGTGCCAGTTGTTTTTGTTTTATACCTCTTTGTGCATTTAATGTACAACCGTACCCTTCTGCGGTGATAGGTGGTATGGTTTTATTATTTTTTTGGTTACAGTCTAGTGGCCTTTCGGCTGGTGTTGCACTCTGATGGGATAGTTCTGTGTGCTTTGAGAGGGGTGATGCGGTGGAGTCTACTGTATGTTTCACAGGGTTGGGAATAATGGCTGCTTGCAATGTCCTATTACCTATTTAACAATTAGTCTTAGCGAGATAATTGTATGCGCGCCTTTCTATGACTGTTATGTCCACCCCGACCTTTAAATGTTTGTAGTTTCTGGCTTGCGATAGGGTGTGTTGGAAGTGGATGAATTTTCTGGTCTTTGCCCGTGTTTCGAACTGAAAAAGAATAGGACAACACTTTTCATGTTGACTCTTCTTTAGCCTATAGCACTTAGTCTTGGAGTTAGGCGTTTTCGCGTCACTAAGTAAGATGCGCTGTACCTTTTATAGTGCCCAGAACGTTGTAGACAATAGCACTCAGTTTTGCGTCGAGTCGTTTTGTTACTTCTGTGGTAACAAAGTTAATAAGGTTATCTACCTTAGTTACCGATTCTGTGTCAAGCTTGTTAAGGTTTACAGTTTTCATGAGGATAGTTAGAGGTGTCAGTTCACAGACATGCGATCTGATATCACTGATCTGATCTGATAATTTGGATGTCACGGTATTGGTTTCAATATTTCCAGCATTTACTGACTTTTTTATTTCCCTTAACTCAGCCTTAAGTTCTCCTATAGACAACTTTAGAAGTTTTATTTCTGAAGATAGTAGTGAAAAAGAGCTTGATGGCTGGAGTTTTTCGATAAGCACATAAGGTGAAGGGAGGGGTTCTGTATGACCAGAGGGCACTGAATTTTCAGGAGTAGTGCTTATACTAGCTGTCAGCACAGTTTTATCCTCAGTTTCAGCTCGACGCTTACGGCATACAAGTGAGTTGTGTGACTCACTAAAGATGTTTTTAGGGTGTGTGTTGCTTGATGTAGCAATCAGCAACGTTAAATTGGTTACCAGTTTTATAGGAGATTGGTTCGTTGCTTTTTGCTTTGATTAACCATAACTATTAGAAATAGGAGTTAATGGTTACAGGTATGGAAGTAGTATAGTACTTGTGCAAGTATTACAACAAGATAAATTTTATGTAACGAATCACGTAAAAATATAACGCAAATGTTGAACGTACCGCGATACATTTATTAATGAAGAATTTAAAGGCGACATCAAAGGAAAAGTTCTTAGAAGCCAACTTCCTAAATCTCTGAGAAAGACATCTTGTTATTAAAATACTTAAAATGATTGAAATATTTATGCATCAAATGTTCTCTTGCTTTACCACGCTTCTTTCCATTATAACACTCAATTATTGAGCCTAGTGTATTATTTAATATACGAATTATATTATTGACTATACTCTTATCATATATGGTTTCATTTACTCTACGGCTTCCTGTAGACTAACTACCATTCTTCAGTATACACACACTGCAGTATTGTTAACCAAATGCTAAATTTTGTTGGTTTTCTGTTAATATCTTTTTATCATATGTCTAGACACGTTACTTTGCAATGTCAGATGTTCACTACATATAAGTACACTAAGTCCTGTCAACCGACCTTACCTTTAGTTCATACTACCTACATTGAACCCTAACTATAGTGTTTTGCTGAATCTTGCTCCACTATTCACAGTACCTATTCGTTTTACTCTTTAAGGTTTTAACTTCCTATAAAGTAAACTGTTCATTAGGATATATGCCTACATATATAATATGTTCATAAAGATGTACGTGGAGACCTATTGGAAGCACTCATTCAGAAAGCTAGGACGATGGAATATGAGGTAGGACCATGTCTGCTACCAAGCAATATATTTGCGGTAGCCATAATAATCATAGTCTCAGAGCCTAACAATAAAAAGGAGGGAGGGTGGGACTCTTCAGCAGTACGCACCCAGCGGGACTCGAACCCAGGACCTTCTGTTTACGAGGCGAGCTCGTGTAACATTTAGCCACTGGGACTCGAACCAATGGCCCATGAATTCTAACTTCTGCCGATTCACGACATAGAGCGACCCGTAGTCAATGTCTTCGGCGAGTAATTGTCCTCAAAGCCAACCTACTGCACCCTACTGGTCACGACTTCCCACGGCAACCACTGGTAACTACCTACCTGAATAGGGCAGGTCGCCTGTAAGGTTTAATTAAAATCACCAAATATCAGACCGATAGGTAGCTGCTTCGCCTCTGGAGACTTGTCGTATTTTAATTTTTCTTTTGACGAGTACTAATCCGAGTTGGCCCCGAAGTTCGTCAGTGCTTAATTTATACTGGTTAACACTTATGTCCTCATCGGTTGGCATAAAAACACCAAATAGCAGGCAGATTAATTCTATGTTAGTGACAGCAAATGATACAATGTAGTGGAGATATATGTGCGACATGAGAGGGAAACAAAGAAACACAATAAGAAGGAAGGACAGAAGTGGCAGGCACAACACGGGAGATCTATGCAAATAGTGCATCGAAGATAAGGTGTGCGTAATTTTGCTATATAGAGATACCGAATTGCAAATAAACACCACTTTACCAGGTCTCTTGTATTCTACTGTTATAGGACCACTGGAATGTGGATACGAGACTGCTTTGTGTCTTAGCAGCCGCACCCATCACAGCCTTTCCAAAAACCCAGTAATCACAAATATCCAAAATTCGGGTTAACCACAGATGGCATCTAGCAAAAAGATGTCCCCACGAAATAATTAGAAGAATCATCGGCGCATCTTCCCTGCCACTAACTCGTCTCAAACAAATTCCACAACCATGGACATGTCCATCAATTGACCTACTAAACCTTTGTGTACTATACCGATAATACCTTGAGATGAACAAATGAGTTCTTTTTCAGTCAACCCCTGCCATCTAAGTAATACAGGAAAACTTGGCCTTCACCGAATTTCAGATATAACTCTCCTAGAACAGGCGTTATTTCACTCGAATTAAGCGGAATGGAAACGTCAGCTCATGGAATGGGGAATCTCTTTAATCCATTCAAAGTCATCGATGCAGCCACACTCTGTTGATAGTTCCTGGTGCTTCGGGTTAAAGGTCATACCTCGTAATGACGTTAAAAATCTGAAAGCCGCAGGTAATAAAGGCAACGTTGATATACTTGTTAATTACTTAAGGTATGTCGAGCCGTTGTGACATTTTTGAATTCCTGAAATCCCGTGAGAACTTAATGAAGTATTATTCCGATGAACCGATCAAGAATTTAATAAGAAGCGTCTGTTTTTCAACTTATGGGCAAATTGACTTATATAAATAGTTCCCGGAAGTTGTTGGCATCAACTCTACATATAATACGAATAAAGGGAATTAAGTTTACGAAATCATTAATCAACATACAGGTATTCTTTGTTCCAATTGGTTGTGACCCATAATTTTGGTCATGGACTGCCAATTTTATTTGCTTGGACTAGAAAGGAATTCAAACGTGATGTAGTTTGTATATTGGACTCACTTTCTCAAATAATGGAAGATACTTCTAAGACAGAGACTTTCATCATGGGCTGTGGGCAATCTGAAATAGCAGCAGTGAAGTTAAAGCACAGAAAAGCGCACATTGTTCAGTATTCTTTCCATGTTTGTTGGGCAATCTGTCGTAAAGTAATTTTTTATACATAATCAAAATTTTAATTGCAGACATGGAATCCCATTGTGAAGAACTATTTATGCCGCTTAGTTCAGTGTAAAAGGAGATCAGAGTAATGCCTTTAATATTCTCATTTTCAAGATTTAATTTCTTTCTCAGAGTTATAAGCAGATTGGATGTTAGTGTTAGTCAGTATATACAACGTCGTTGGATGAGTCGAAGAGAATTGTGGGCAGCAGCTTTCAGAGACCATGCGCCGACTTTTGATAATGCTACTAATAATCGAGTAGAAACTTCACACAAGCAAATGAAGCGTTACTTGCAAAGATCAGTCTGGATGTAAGCATGCTAAATTTTTATAAATGGTCTGAACAAAGTTATTCAAGAATACAGCAGGAGTCAATGATTGCTCGGTTGCGATGCTTCACGTATTCCTGTTCAAAACGTCTAATGCCAATCCTACGACTACTGACGCCAAACGCCTCGAGGAAAGTGATGCGTGATTACGAAAAGCAATAGCGGGCTTCTGTTGAGGTTGAAGCTTTCGATGTCTTCTTTCAAGACAATGGGAGGGGAGTAGAGGTTGATCTGCGTGCTTGCACATGCACACGTATAACGTTTCAGACCCGTCGGTACTCCTGCCGATACTTGCTGTTGGTCCATTTCAGAAAGCCGTGTTTACAGGTATATTTACGTCTAATTACGCATGCGAGTTACTCTGCTGTCACGTAAACTATTCGCTATTCTATGACTCCACTTGTAACATATGTCGACCTAACCTTAAGTACCTGAAATTCTCAGATACTGAAATTTGTAATTTTCATAACCGTGTGCATGTGCACAATGCCTTAATTGTAAACAGGATACAAGCAATACCATCATTGATCCTGTTATATCGTGTTCATAATTATCTTAATGTTTTGTGTTCCACCTTTTGTAGTTAACCATGTCCAGTCGAAGTGTCAACAATGGACGTGGTCACGCGACTACTTCGCATCTCAAAACACGTCAGCAGTTGCCCCTCGAAGTCCATGTGATTTATCCAAAAACAATAATAAGCTTATGGATGCGGGCCCAACGAGAATTGCTGACGAATCTGGAGAAATGTTTGCCGCAAATTACGCAGGAGAAGTATGCGCAGGAATGGAACGTCTTAATATATAAATGAACTAAGTTTGTATTATAATAAAAATAAACTTTTCATATAAACCTTGTTGTCTTTCAATTCATGTGTTCGATTTGTGAGCACGGCATGCTAGACCGGTGCTCCCTATAACTTGAACTCGTTACTATACGTAAGTGTGATTCTGTAGGAACACTATCGATCGATATACGTGGTGAATTATAAGTAATTTAGTGGATCTTAAACGTCTGTCTAAAGTTAGATGAGTATGTCTCATAGTCATGTGCAAGTCCGTAGGGACCAATGACAACAATAGGTAGAGCTTAAGCACTGCACTGCAGTTCCAGTTCGTATACGGCTAGGTGCATTCAAAAGCAGTGTATTACTATTATTTCGATTATAGCGTTATGTTAATCCCCAATATTACAGTTGTTCGAAATGAAGTTAACACGTGACGAATAAACAAGCAGGTTGGGTTGTGGCAGTCGTAGTAACATTTCCCTTACGTTTAATTCTTCAATCAAATACTTCATCAAGTATCATTGAAAGGTCTGGCATCTGCCTCGTCACGCCCAAAAATTTAGTTTCACTCAGATGGAATAAGAAAAGTATTGTAAGCAGGATGTTAAATCTGAGTAATGATAAATAATAACAAGCAAATGTTTTTACGCAGTTGTTTCCCGTAATTATTTCGGCGACGTCGAACTGCTGTGACCAGTTTGACTGACGTTACCGGATATCTGCAAATAAGTGAACAAAGTGTGTTTTGAAATCGCTGAAGTAATAAATAAGTAATATTAAAGTTAAACGCTTTGCATTTGCCTCCCTTTGATGAAAAAGTTTCATTCTCCTTTCTCATTCTTCGTTGAACTTTGGAAAGATGATTTATAAATGTAAAAGGTAATAATCATCGGAACTGCAACAATGTTTTCTAGCTATTCAGAATTTTTTCCTTTGATGCAGTTTCTTATCAACAGTTTGCACTATTAATAGTGAGATTATAGGAAACTTCATTATATCTTCATTTTCACCAAATTTTCCTTGACGCACAGAAGCATGCAGTCACTACATACACTCAGGCATTGTAACCTGAACATCACAAAATCCCTACAGATAACTTATGTAATAATAAATGCTTTAAAGGTATGAGCCATAAGTGCATCTTCCATATCCTTCATGGTCACAAGTAATTCATTACGGATCTCAGAATATCTTAGTGATCTGAAAACGAATAATTATTAAGACTGGTATAATTTATGTAACAGGTGTAGTAGTTGTAGGACACAGCTGCTAGCTACTAACCAACAGAAAGTCGATACTAATTTTAAGTACTCTGACATTTTAGAAGGACCATCTATACTATTCTTCATGACCCGATGCACAGTGATATCAACATAATCTGATGCCATTTTATGCACTGAGCAGTTACGGTCTTCTGAAATTCCATGTGAAAATGTAAATTAAACTAGTATCACGTCTTCACCCGAGCAATTTTCACTAGGAACCTCATCAGAATAGATATAATCACTAGGTAATTCGGCAGCCTGTCTCATTAATCACATGATCTCTTCCATGTGTTATGGAATATTTCAGTCACCACAGATGATAATAGAAGTGTTTAACATCCTCAAAACACACATCTAACTTATGTCTGTAGGCTATTTCTCTTTCAAATGCCCGATTCTCATAGAATAAGTGGGATGACAACGGCCAGTCAATTAACAACCTTAAGATCAAAAACAGCTAGTAAAAAACAAGGCTCTAAAAAGCAAATAATGGTCTTTCTATGCGAAATATTTTAAAAATGATGACATTTTCTATTAATAATTCGTCTGAGCTATCAAGACAATTTTACGCATTACTACGAACACAATACAGCAAAATAATGCTTTTTTCGGCTACAGAAGCATAAAACTAGTCAAATATACTCTATTTTCACAAAACTGAGCGATTACAACGCTTCTATAAGCGTGAACGTGGTAACCCATACACTCCGCGAAGACATATCGTGGCGACGTTTAGGCTCACCCACCATACGTATGACCTAGAAATTGGATCATCTAGAAAGTCATATTTAGGAAAACTGATGAACAGTAAGGTGGAACGACAACAGCGCTCAGTTGGCCTTCGACAGACAGTGTTGACCATGAAATAATTTGGAAACTACTTCAACATTATGGCGTGCAGTGCCCAAATCTTTATCAACCTCAATCAACAGTTGTATGATAATGGAGAAAGTTGGCTGATACACAACGGAAAACTCGGTGAGGCCTTCGAAGTGAATACAGGAGTAAGACAAGGTTGTTTGCATACTATCACTGATGATATTCTTAATTGTGGGAGGCTGTATTTTGCGCCAGACTGTGCATAGAGACGGGAAGACAGTGATACACTTGACCAATAATAAGACTATAGAAGATCCGGATTTCGCGGGGACTCATGTTTAATGTCACACAACTTCGAATACCTACAGACGGAAAACAACAAACTGGCTGCAGAAGCAGCCAGGTGAACATAGAGAAGACGGAGGTGATGAAGATAACCAGCGGACCGCAACAACAACAATAACCAGCACCAATCACTATCTACAGGAGAAATTTGAAAGAGGTCACTTCCTTCCTTTCTTCACTTATCTAAGAATCACAGTTTCAACCATAGGGAGGGGGTGGATGAAGATATTAAGGCCAGCCAGAATTCAAACGGCAAAGTGCACCTTCGACCATCTGAAACCAGTTTGGAACTCTTCAACACTTTGCCTTGGCATAAACAACAAAATATAGACGCTCTCCCTATATATATGTCTTTGCAGACCCCCACACGGTTGATTAACGGTACCATCGATTTCCCCAAATAAGAATAATTAACCATACGATAAACCCACAGACCGGTGCAAAGCAATGGGTAAGGGGGAACATCACAGAGAAGACAATGAAGAATCGCAACACCGTCATTATTACTTGAGCAAAGGTCATGTGTATATATATTATATATTATGTCCTTTAAATCCTAGAGAAATAAAGGGCTTCAGATGAGGAACTCCACTGACTTCATGCAATATACTGGAAAACTTGCTCATAGATTGATTGACACTGTTATTTACCAGTTTCAGAATACCATCAAACTTTGGATCAGTACCTTCATCCTCTATACGAGGGCTTATCTTTACCCACTTCCTTTGCAGTCGGGTTGGTAGGCGTCTCGCTATTACCTATAGGACGAAGCTTGAGTTCAGATCGCTCATACAATTCATCGAAATCAATGCGTTCTTGTAAGTCAACAGATTATCCAGAAACTCAGAGAGTACCTTGGAGTCATCTTGTAATTGACTACCATTACCTTTAACAGCCTCGAATACGTTCCTTACAATCATCGAAGGTCTTCCGAATCTTTGACGCAGTATGCTCATACCCTCGGAGTATCCATCGTTAGGGCACATGAACTTACAGCACTGTATAGCTCTTGAAGCAACTCCAGCGCAGTATCTCATCAAATACATCAACTTCATCTACTCATTTATTGCAAACCCACTCAACATGATTTCAAACTCCTTTACAAACTGAAAATAGTCAACTGGGTTTTCGTCGAAACTCCGAGGTTAAGATTTAGGCCTACGATCCCTTGACTGCGAGACATGAACAACAGACTCGTCATGCTGAGCATCATACATATCATTACATGTAACAGTAAAATCAACATGACGTACTTTCCTCCTTGCTTCCAAGACGCTTTGTCTCTACTTTGACCCAGGCATCACTGAACGTAACCGAAATTCCAGAAAATTCCAGGTAACACTTGTCCAAAGAATGCTTGACCAGCACCAGGAAAGACGAACGGAAACTATCCAACTGCTATCAGAAACTGACAGCCAAGTTTTATAAACCATTAATAACCAGCTCTTACTACGCTGGGCCTCACGCTGCCCCTCGAAAACTTTCAGAAACGCTTAGTATTAACCGATGCAGCAACCGAAACACTGTTCGGCGACTCAAGAATTCTTTATTCTAACGCCGACATATAACCAGCAATACTGGCTTTACAGACTAAGGTTTCTGACAGTTTTTTGACCTTCTTTCTGAACAGCGACCGATCAGACGATGACTGCTGGATTGATGACCCGCGAGAAATATGGAGGAGCTGGGTTTGAGCAAACAACCATGAATTGATCGTTCAATCTTCAACTACGTCTACGACTGATTCAACAAGCAACCACATCAGACTTTGCGTAGGCGGATACAGTTAACATATATATGATCTGACGTTCAAGAGGCAGTCACAAAATACGCAAGATTAAGCTTCTGTGAGAATAAGCTATGATAATGATCATGAATATGTATAAATACGTGTTGATTTCCTTAATAAACGATCCGGTGTCTAGCCCTTCTCTTCTGGTTTTACACTATTACTTAACATGTAAATCCTGTATGAATTAAGACGTATTTTGGGACTAAATGCACTGATGAGTTTTCTACTATATGTTCACTTATTGTCTCAAATAAAGCTTTATTATCTTGTATTCTGTTTATTCGAGTGTTTAGACGCTTGGTAACAACAAACTAGACAAAATGAAAATGTTTACAAAAGTGTGGTTTGGTGTCTGCAGGTCGTAATATGCTTCAGTGCACTGGTGAGCTCCTATCCAGATAAAACGTAACCTCATATTTGTGGATAAAAACAAACTTGCTTTAGTTATTGTCTTTCAAAAGGCTTCCATTCATAGTATAGCTTGTATGAATAATACGTTTCACATAACCATAATTGGGTAAAGATATACGTTAGTACGTGTTAAATTTTCCGCGCCTCAGGTTTCTTCGTCTTTTATTGGCTAGAACAGTGGCGGTCAGTTTAACATTTGATTGGTCCTTGGTAGGGGCAGCCTGTAGACGGACGTAGGTCATTTGATCAGCTGATGGATATTGGCGTTATTTATTGGAGAAACGTCAAGGTTAGGTCATTTTTCGTTGTTTTTCACACTTTTTTACCTATATTCCTGCTAAAAGTTGATGAAATGCGGCCTATTTAGCAGAAAG